CGAGTGGCATGTCTGAACACGATGATCATTGTTGATGTTTTATTATTTGTGAACCACGTGAGTTTGTGTTCAGTAAAATAAACAGATGTTCAGTGTGATAATTATAGTTCTAGCTTTTTTGATTCGAATTAGGACTTGTAGTTAGTGTGACTAGTTTTACTGTTCCTACTGATTAGACTTCATACAAATATGTCCTGTCAGGGTCTAGAGACATTTGGTATTAGCACCCGCCTAACAAATTTTTTTTAAACTTGTTTCTGGGGCAGCTTGAGTGTGGGTTTGGCTTCCACTCACCCCGACAATATTTAATAGAGCTCTTGTAGGTTTGGAGTATAGATATGTTTAAGGAGTAGATTTTTAAATTGTCCTTTATAGTGTCTCTCCCTCTCCCTTACTACAATATTCTAATTAGGTTTTGCTTCTAGCACACTAGGAAAACGACAACAGCCAAAAAAAATGCTAGGGTTGGTTATGCAACGACATGTAAAGGAAACGCACTTAACTCTCCCCCCCCCCCCCTCACACTTTATTTGTAATGAACCCTAAGAAAGGAAATCACGGAGCTCCCGGGAAAGTCCAGTATTCTAGCCGTGTTATGGGTTAATATTAGTTAGCTAAGTTTTAGGCTCTGTTTTAGCTGCCACCGCCACAGAGACACTGAGTAACTTTAACCCCTAACCCCAACCCATAACACCCGCATTATATTGACCTTCCTCGGAGACTCAAGGGTATCTGTAGTTGGGAGTGAATTAAAAATAAAGTGCTTTCTTCCCTAAACAAGCAAAACCAATTATCCAATGTGTGCATAAGATGGAGATGATGTAGAAATAACCCAACACGGATTTATTCAGAAATGTTCACACACTGTTTGACGTGTAAGTGTTTAATTATACCCTTCAGACACTTCAACACAAAGAAAGAATGCATTGCGACATATAAGCAGCATTAATTTATTGGGTACAGATTCTATTGAAGAATACAAACCGTTTGTTTGGCAAAATGTACCGGAGCGCTGACATATAGACAGTTTGGGGTTTATGATGGGTAGGGGGAACGAGAGAACGAAGAAGGGTTGACCCTCTTATAAGTTTTCTTCAAGTGAGGATTGGGGCCTCAGGGGTCCCAAAGCTTGTTAAAGTGCACGGTAATAATAATATAACTGTGCTGAAAGAAAGATGAAAATATTGGAAATAATGTAACACATATACAGAAATTCTTAAAAAGGTAACTTTTATACAGGGTTCGGTGGAAGGGGGACATTCCCCTCGTTTTCTAGATGTGGAGGGTCGGGGGAGGAAGGGGTTTTGTCCAATCTTAACACATATTTCGTGAAGGGGGTCAGGGAGACACCCATGCCTTCCACATTCTTTTACAGGCTCAAGATGTCTCAACCCCAGGTTCTGACGCCCTTAAAACCTAAAAGAAGAGTGAAATTAGAATTGTTGCAACGATGTAATTAGCCCAACCTAAGGAGATCACAAGACAGCAGTGGTGGTTTCCATTTTGTTGTTGTTTGCTGCAGTATAGGTTGTTGTGTTCTAGTACTGATTTCAAGGACAATATTTGGTATGGTTTTTCCCGTGTTTTTTATGGACATAAAATAATGTCTTCTTATTTGCCGCACTCGTGATGCCTTAATGCGTCGCAGAGAGAAGTAGGATGTGGTTTCCTGACTTTGTTGCTAACTGCGTTTTCATTTCATTTTGCGTTTTTGTAGTGTCTCTTTTTATTTACTCCATCCATCCGTCCATCCATCCATCCATCCATCCATCCATCCATCCATCCATCCATCCATCCATCCATCCATCCATCCATCCATCCATCCATCCATCCATCCATCCATCCATCCATCCATCCATCCATTCCTGTCTTTTTCCCTGGTCTCTTGCTTGAAGCCTTCTGTTCTCATGTAATGCGCTCTGGTTACTGATTTTGTTCCATTCCGATAAGTTTATGCAATTTTGTATGTTTGATGTTCTATGACATCATTTACTGGTATTATGCCTACTGTTATGCGTAGTTCTTAGTTAGTTGATCTGTCTTTTCTTGTTTTTTCCCACCGCATTTCTTACGTATTTCACAATGTTTAATTTCTCGTAATTAAATAATAATTGGAGAGAAATATAACCAGAGGAGTTCCACCAAGAATTGAGATACCACTACCACTATCACCACCAAGAGCCGTTTTAACGGCATTATGGGCGACCTGGCAAACCAAAATGCTGGAGTCACTTTGACATTCACTAACAGGAAATACATATAAATTGTTCAAGAATATTAAATATATGTTTATTTTACTGTCGCTTCCACGAAACTGATGCTAAAGCACAAACACAGATTAGATTGTACAGTGGGAAATTACTGCAAATGTGTTTCTTGGAAAGTCCATTGACATTTAAAGGTCAGTCTAAGGCCCTGCTGGCAAGTGCCCAGCTGACCCGTACGTTCAGACGGCCATGCCATCACCACTACCACCACCACTACGACCACCACTACCACCATCACAACTACCACCACCACTACCACCACCACTACCACCACCACTACCACCATCACAACTACCACCACCACTACCACCACCACTACCACCACTACTACAACTACTACCACCACTACTACCACCACTACCACCACTACTACCACTACTACCACCACTACCACTACTACCACTACCACCACCACCACTACCACCACCACTACCACTACTACCACCACTACCACCACTACCACTACTACCACTACTACCACTACTACCACCACTACCACCACCACCACCACCACCACTACCACTACTACCACTACTACCACCACTACCACCACTACTACCATTACCACCACTACTACCACTACCACCACTACCACCACTACTACCACTACAACTACTACTACCACTACAACCACTACCACCACTACCACCACCACCAACCACCACTACCATTACCACCACCACTACCACCACCACCAATACCATTACCACCACTACTACCACCACCACTACCACCACCACTACCACTACCACCACTACTACCACTACCACCACCACTACCACCACCACCACCACCACCACTACCACCACCACCAACCACCACTACCACCACTACCACCACCACCACTACCACTACCACCACTACTACTACTACCACCACACTACTACCACCAGGACCACTACAACTAACCACCACTACTACCACTACCACTACCTACCACTACCACCCCTACTAACACTACACCACTACTACCACTACACTACCACCACCACCACCACCACTACTACCACCACTACTACCACTAGCACCACAACTACCACCAGTACTACCACCACTACCACCACTACTACCACCACTACCACCACAACTACCACCACTACCACCACTACCACCACTACTACCAATACTACCACCACTACCACGACTACTACCACGACTACTACCACCACTACCACCACTATTAACACTACTTCCACTACCACCACTACCACCACTATCACCACTACCACCACTACTACCACTACTACCACCACTACCACCATTAAATGCCTAATGATGTGTGAATTCGTAATTAGGTGAGGATCTGGACATTAAAGTAATAAAAATAGTGCACCTGCTAAACGCACTGCAGTCAGCATCTACACCTTAACAGTCTTTCTTTATTGCAAGACACAGATGCAGCTGCACAGGACAATGTGACTATTACTGTAGCCTTAGGGGGGGGGGGGGGGGGGGACGAAAAAAAAAAAAAAAGAAAGAAAATTGAAATGCGTAAACGCCTGAGAACAAAAGACTACTGCTACTACTACTACTTCTTCCTCCTCTTCTTCTTCTTCTTTTTCTACTACTACTGCTACTACTACTACTACTACTACTACTACTACTACTACTACTACTACTACTACTACTACTACTACTACTACTACTACTACTACTACTACTACTACTACTACCTCTTCTTTTTCTACTACTACTAATACTACTACTACTACTACTACTACTACTACTACTACTACTACTGCTACTACTACTACTACTACTACTACAACTACTACTACTACTACTACTACTACTACTACTACTACTACTACTTCTTCTTCTACTACTACTGCTACTGCTGCTGCTGCTGCTGCTACTGCTACTTCTTCTTCTTCTACTACTGCTACTGCTGCTGCTGCTGCTACTACTACTACTCTACTACTACTACTACTACTACTACTACTACTATACTTATTCTTCTCTTTTTCTATATTTTCTTACTACTGCTTGCTTCTTATGTTTCTACTACTACTACTACTACTACTCTACTAATGCTGCTACTGCTACTACTACTACTACTACTACTACTACTACTACTACTACTACTACTACTACTACTACTACTACTACTACTACTACCACTATTTCTGCTTCTTTTACTAATACTACCACTACTACTACTAATACTACTACTAATACTACTACTATTACTACTACTACTTCTTCTTCTTCTCTTCTTCTTCTCTTCTACTACTACTACTACTACTACTACTACAAACACTATATCTAAAACTACTACTACGACTACTAATACTACTGCTATTACTACTACCACAACAACTACTACTACTACTACTACTACTACTACTACTACTACTACTACTACTACTACTACTACTACTACTACTGCTTCTTCTTCTTCTTCTTCTAATACTACTACAACCACTATATATACTACTACTACTGCTACTACTACTACTACTACTACTACTACTACTACTACTACTACTACTACTACTACTACTACTACTACTACTACTACTACTACTACTACTACTACTACTACTGCTGCTACTACTACTATTACTACTACTATTACTACTACTACTACGACGACGACGACAACGAAGACGACGACGACGTCGATGTGACCATGAAGTCGACAATTATTCATAACTGTAGGAAATTCTCATATTTGATGCGGTATTGTTGTTACTGATGCCGTTAATTTGTGCTCTGTGCCTTTGTGCAGACATGGAGACGAGCATCCCCGAGGAGAGAAAAGTGGTCTATAAGTTTCTCGGCAGCTCAGGAATCAAGGTGTCCAATATTTGTCTAGGATCTACCACTTTTGGAGAGGGGCCAGTAAGTCGTTAGACATCCAGCCACATTGATGTTGTGTGTGTGTTATGTGTATGCTTATGCGCGTGTGTATGTTTGTGCATGTGTATATGTGTGCGTGTGTGAGTGTGTGTGCGTGTGTGCGTGTGTATATATGTTTGAGTGTCTATGGTGTGCGTGAGCCTGCGTGTGTGTGAACGTTCGAGCGAGGGGCAAGAAAACAAACACCAGCCTACCCTAGAGAACTGATCATAATGAGTTTTTTCAAAACGTATAATTATGAAAGGTCAGTTCTGGCTGTTTTATTCCTTTCTTATGCCCCAGATTGGTCTACCTGGTCAGACGGACGAGGACACGTCCCACGAAATTCTCCAGCGGTTCTCAGATTGGGGCGGGAATTTCATTGACACGGCTGACCATTACGGGTTTGGTAATTCTGAGACCATCATTGGGAAATGGCTGGAAAGGTAAAAGTTGATCATCCTCATCACCACGACGGCAAACACCACCACTACCATCATCATCGTAATCTTCATCATTATCGCCATTATCCTTTTGCTTTGTTCATAAGCCATGTAGAGCTCGCGTTCTTTTATGCTCGATCCCGTCCAGTATCTTTGACCTCTCTCACCGACATTCATTAAAGGGTTTCTCTTGAACGTTCTCGTTTCCCCACTTCATTTGTCTGCGTTATCAGTGTTTATTAGATTTTCTGTGTGCTCCTTCTCGGGATATGCCATCTACGTTGCCATCTTCTTTTTCTTATAGCTGTTTATGTCAGCGTTGTTCAGATATTTCTCTTATTTATTCTCATTCTTGAATTGATCCTTTTAAAGGATCACCAGTTTCTTAAAATGTTTGTTTTCAAACTTGATAGTTAACATACTTTAGACATGTTCTCCCGGTGGTTCCAGTGATGTGGGAAACGAACAGACAGATATACTGGCTGGCTTTCCGCCACACAGTGGTAAGCTGATGCATGACAAGCCATATGCTGTAAGGTTCCTTGGGAAAGGGGGGGGGGAGGGGGGCACACAGAGGTCATCACGGTCCGAGGAGAATGGCGCTGCAAGAAGTGACATGACTCTCTGGTCGACAGTCAACACTCAAACAAGGGGCGAGTCGGATATGCAGTCAGACTGTTCCAGGCATTGTCGGGACTTGACGTGAGCTCTGAGCTTGTAGCTAAAGATGCTTACTGGAATGTCACGAATGTTGTGTTGTCGATTCTTAATTCAACATTTAAAATATGTGCAGGGGCAAACAAAGATGTAATGAAATCGTTATTCAACAGATAGGATTAAACAGCATCAAGTTATCATTTTAAAATGTAATTTTAACAGACAAACCCGTGACAAATTTGTGATCGCCACAAAATGTCGTTTTAACATGGGAACAGAGCACAACGTCAACAACGTCGGACTGAGTCGACGTCACATTACTGAAAGTATCGATAGAAGTCTTCAGAGACTGCACACAGACTTTGTGGATCTATACCAGGTGGGTAGATTCTCTTTAACAGCTTTATCTTTATCAGGTGGGTGGGTAATCTTTATCAGGTGGGTGGGTAATCTTTATCAGGTGGGTAAACAAAATTAATTAAAGTACCCTTTTCCACGCCTTTAGGCGAATAGGGCATATAGGGCTAGACCTATATTTTTAAAGAACAATCGGCACAAGATGGATAATGAGGTCAGAATCACGCCGGTCGCCTTTACTTTCCGGGACTGCACCCAGTACCAACTCAGGCTGGGTCGACCTGGGAGCCAAGGTCATTTTTGAGAAAGGTCCGGCTCCGCCAGAAAGCGAACCCGCGACCTTCCGATCCGCGGCGAGAGTCTAGCTGCTCCACCACGGCTACTCCCTATCAGGTGGGTGGGTCATCTTTATAAGGTGGATGGGTCATCTTTATCAGGCGAGTGGGTCATCGGTAAGAGGTGAATGGGTCATCTGTTGGCTGTTGCCAACAAGTCGGTTAAGGAGTTGAATAGATTCCAACAAGCTACAGGGAGATAGTGGTGACAGCTTTTTCTTTAAAACGACTAGCAATAGTATGCAACCCTGTGTATTTCTAGAGAAAACAAAAGGTAGCGATGCTCATCGTCATCATCATCATCGTCATCCCGTAAAACTGCGTGTCGTTGAGTCACTAGCTGCTGTTGACTGACTGATCAGCTTCCTCTAGCTTTAACGACCTGGCACCATGGACTTCATGGCTGCATGCCTAAGACCTGTCCAGTCTGTGAAGTTCTGCATCTACGTCTATCTTATGTATACCTCCTCTCCTCTTCAACTCTACTGAGCCCTGTAATACTGTTTTTTGAGAGGCCGTTTGATCTTACTACCTGTCCTTACCATTGCATTTTCTGTCTTCTGATTATAGTTACATGTTGGCCAGAGATGACAAAATCACAACAGTTTTTAGTTCCTGTTTAAAATATTCAAAAGATCACTATTTCACACAGTGAACCCTTTCGTTTTTTGTTACCTTTAAACTAGGCCCATTTGTAGTCCGGATAGTCACGACCCTAATAATTGAGGTGTTCTTAGGCATTGCGAACGCGCTTCGAAATGCCGGGGTGCCGGCTTCGATCCCAGCTGCGGACTTTGCGCTTTGCGTTGGTATCGACAGTGGTATCGAGAAGCCGACCGGTCAGAAAGCAATGACAAACTACTGGACGTTAACGGACCCAGAAAAATCCACAACAGCCACACAAAAATGCTTGGGTTGGTTCTGCAACGTCCTGTTAAGGATACGCAACTAACTAATTGTAGTTATAATTGGGGCATCGTAACGTTTATGCAAGCTGGCATTCACTGCAGTTCTTGGACAGAAACTCATTAAGATCAGATAATGAGTTTAGTTTACGATAAAGGGGAAACAAATCAGTATCAATTAACCTAACTGGCTTCTCGTTTTTCAGACTCACGAGTGGGATGATGGGACTCCTGTTGAGGAAATTTTACGGACTCTGGATGACCTAGTTCGCGTGGGCAAAGTCCGTTACGTCGGGGTCAGCAATGTCTCTGGCTGGCAGATGCAGAGTCTGGTGGAGACAAGCCATAGACTTGGCTTCAACAACATTATCAGTTTACAGGTATGCTGTCTCCTTGGATTGTCATGTGTTTTCCTTTTATGTGTGTGATGTTTTCTTCTTCTTCTTCTTCTTTCTTCTTCTTCTTCTTCTTCTTCTTCTTCTTCTTCTTCTTCTTCTTTTCTTCTTCTTCTTCTTCTCTTCTTTTTCTCCTTCTTCTTCTCCTTCTTCTTCTTCTTCTTCTTCTTCTTCTTCTTCTTCTTCTTCTTCTTCTTCTTCTTCTTCTTCTTCTTCTTCTTCTTCTTCTTCTTCTTCTTCTTCTTCTTCTCCTTCTTCTTCACTTTTGCCGGCTATAAACGCCAGCGGAAACTTCTGCAAAGGTCCCTCTAGACCGTTACAATATAGAGAATCGACACTCGGTGTATGAAGTGGTCAACACCACACCGGTCGTTTGTACTTACCAGGACCCCGTCCTCCAATACAGCAACCATTTAAGTGTCTTCATGCTCAATGGGTCCAGTAGAAGTTAACTCTCCTATCTTCTTTCTTTTGCACCGCAACTGATTTGTGCATTCTTGACCTTGTTTAATATCCACTTCCAGCAAGCTATTCGTGGTCTCTTCTAACTCATTTGTCTAAACGTCTTTTGAACGATGCGCATTCAATTTTTCTGCCCGGTTAATAGTTATTTTTTTTAACCAGCCACTGCAGATACAATCAGTATGTTGGCTTTTTAATTTCCTATCACCCCATCGTGACCCGATGTACAGCCAAGATAGTTTGTGATGGTGTCAACCCAGCCTAGACGAAGTTTATCAGTTCTGACCTTCTTATAAGTGCTTTAGTTACCTTTAGTTCCTTCAGCCAGATGATTATAGTTATGTCAGGACAATGTTTTTCTTAGTAAATTTCCAGATCACGTTAGTGCAGGCTGGCCCGTTTGTCTGTCACTCAGGTGGCCTGTGCTCAAAGCCTTATCGAAGCTATCATTAGTAGCATAATTAGACAATAGCTCTCGAGGTGAACCATCTTGAAGGTTACCACTGTCGGGAAGATGCAGGAGTTCGAGGGAAAGAAAGAGCTGTTTTCTGGCTACAAAAGCAAAAGCTACGGGAACACTTCTGTTGTACAAGTAAGACACTCTAAAGACTATTTATGAACGAATGTTGACAGAAGACACCAGATTACACAAAGTAAAATATGTAGGAATGTGTGAACGAAAAAATAGGAATGGATCCAGCAAGGAGGGACGTATGAGAGGAAGAGAACGAAGTGTGTCTAATCAGTGTGCTAGGGTACCAGTTAGTATCTACACCTTAAGACATTTGCTGCAGGAGACAGAGCATCGGATATGTCCGGTGCGCGATATTGTAGATTCCTAAATCAGTAATCAGCAAAGAATACAAGAAAACATTTCAGAGAAACAAGGACGTCAACGAGTGAGGATTTTTCTAAACACTTTCGAAATTCAGCAAAGATGGAGTAAAGCCAGTCAAGTTGTATGCCAAATGGCATCAATTTTGAAATGCAGGCATGTGAATATGAACACTAAAGAAGCACTGTTTCACACAATATTCTTACTAACGCTATGCTGTCAAGAACAAACATGGACATTGTCTTCAGAGAACAGAAGGAAAATAACTACGACAGAAATGAAATGTTTACGTACTATGCTAGGTTTAACGAGGAAAGATCGACTTAGGAATGACGATATCAAGAGGAGAGTCAGAACAGAACCAGTATTGAACTTTATAGACAGGCAAAAAAAATTCAGATGGTTCCACGCAGAACATGGACCGCAGAAATATCAGAGACAAGTGAACAGAAGGTCGCATTCCAGAGATCTTTTCCTGCACTTACCACGCGAGTCATTCCAGGCGTAAGGAAAAGAAGAAGAAGAAGAAGAAGAAGAAGAAGAAGAAGAAGAAGAAGAAGAAGAAGAAGAAGAAGAAGAAGAAGAAGAAGAAGAAGAAGAAGAAGAAGAAGAAGAAGAAGAAGAAGAAGAAGAAGAAAAAGAAGAAGAAGAAGAAGAAGAAGAAGAAGAAGAAGATGTCAGTCTAACGCCTTATCTTCAACTCGCTACATGTCATGGAAATAAATCTTCTACTTTTGTTTGCTTGTTTGTTTTGTTACTGAAAACGCAAATGACAATTTCTGAATATGCTGTTTCATGTTGCATAGCAACAGTACAGTCTGATGAGCCGCGCCTCAGAGCTGGAGTCATTCCAAGTGTGTAAGGCGAGGGGCGTTGGGGTTTTGCCATGGAGTCCCCTTAAAGGGTGAGTGGGTGCAATTTATCCTTTCTTAACTCATCATCACGTTATGAAGCTAGTTCTTTCTTTAACTGTTTCATCTTTGCAATCTCGTATTAGAAATATATTTTACTTGCAATATGGCACTTTATCTTTATCCTATGTAATAAAACACTCTCATTTAAAATCAGAAAACGAGTACTGAAATGTTATCAAGCCTTTCTGTTGTATGGCATTGAATCTTGGAATGTGAGTAAACAAATTAGGAAATGTTGGGAGGCTACTGAGATTTGGTTCATGAGATGAACGTTGCAAATACCTTTGACTGCCAGAATAACTAACAATGATTTCCTGGAAATGGCTAATGAAAGTAGAACATTATATGCAACAATGAGAAGGAGACAAACAAAGTTCTTTGGTCATGTGATGAGAAAAGGAGCACTGGAAAATATCGTTACGACTGGAAAGATCAATGGTAGAAGAGGCAGAGACAGACGAAGAGAATTGATGGTGGATGGATTAAGAAAGTGGCGTCGAGGAATATAATCAGTCGAATTGATTCAGAACACCAAAGACCGAGAACTTTGGAGATGCATGAAACTCTACGCCAGCTGGCAAGGAACTTGTTGATGATGACGTAATGTATATTCTTTATGTCGCAATGGAGCATAGGCCTTTATCAACTTTAGCCAGGTCTTCTCGACAATAGAGATTGCATGCATCTCACCTTGTGACATCCGTTTCGTTCGAATTCTCTTCTCCGTGTGTTTCTACTTTTTTTTTTAAGTCAGTGCAAGGACGTTCTAGTTGTATCGTTCTCATGCTTTTATAACGTGTGTCAGATCTAATGACAGCGTCATTTCCTCCCCTCTCGGTTCACTAGGACATGTTTAGTTCTCTCCTAAAATTCAACATTAGTTGTTTAGCATAACATTTCATTTCCTCTTTTCTTCGCAGGAAGTGACTGCAGTTTTTTAATGATATTTTTAGCAAACTGTAATTGTTTCAGCTCTACACATTTCAAACCTGTATTTACGGTGTTTGTATATATATATACATAATAAAAAAATTGTGTTAGGCCTAGCTGTCCATGTTTTTGGAGTTTTAGAAACGCTGGCATATCAACGGCATTGCGGAAAACCTCCGTAACTTTATGCTAAGGTCACGTGGCTCAAGGTCTACCAATCATAAGTGAGCTAGTGTGTATATGGGATCTGTGGAGTAAAACATTACTTTTACAGAAATGTCTGTCATCTTCTGTTAGAGGCTTGTTGACTGGGAAGGTGAAGCGTGGAGTCAAACCTACAGAAGGTCGGATCGGCTGGGCAGCGGAGAGCAGGACCCGGGACATGGAGATATGTCCTCACTGGTCAAACTTTAACAACCAGACCTTTGATGTCATAGAGACAGTCGAGGAGATTGCTAAACAACGAGGTGAGTTTTTGTGTTTCCTGTATTTAGCCTACGGTTAGTCAGATACTAGTGGTGAAGTCTTCCGAGCATGTCCTTCCGCTGCCTTATGTTATCGTTATCCTAATCGTCGTTGACGTTGTCATCATCACCGTCATCATCGTCAGTTTTGTATACAATGTTTAGTTCTAACTACATTTCTACATGTAGCAATCTAACGTTTCCAAGCTCTCAGTTTGTATGGCAGACCAACTGGACCTGAAGAACTGACACCATCTCAATGCTGACAGAAGACCAGCAGGACAAGCCTAGATACCTCGTTCAATCGCTAAAGAAGTTGCAATAGGGACGATCCTAGCGGTTACAGCAGCCCGGTGTAACCTTCAGTTCTCTGTGGGTTAGGTTAGTTGCGTATCCTTTACAGGACGTTACAGAACCGACACCAGCATTTTGTTTTGGCTGTTTGTATTTTTACTAGGCAGTCTTACTGTCAATAGTTTGCCATTTCTTTCTAAACGGGCAGCTTTCGGTACCATTGTCGAAACCGATCCAAGGCGGTCGGCTACCTAAACAAATCTGTGGGTAAGGATATATATTGTTGTGTCCATAACTAAATATCTCAAGACAAGGGGTCCGATCTGTAGGCGAGTGTCACGACTGGGCATACAACCGTATAATTAGTGGAGAAGAGATGTAACCTTATCAACTCTAGACAAGTAATATATCTGTAAAAAGTAAAGTAAGTAAAGTTCCCTTTTCACGCCTTTCGGCGCATCGGGCATATGGGCAGAGCGTCCCATATTTTTACAGACCATCAGCACTCTGTGGGTAATGTGGTCAGCATTACGCCGGCTGTCTTTACTTTCCCAGGACAGCGCATCCTGGTACCCATTTTAGGCTGGGTCGACCTGCGACGTCCCATACCACGATAAAAATCCACGCAGCCCACGCAGGTTTCGATCGCGGTATGCTGGCTTACGAGTCGGACTCCCAACGCCTTAGCCACGGACGCCGCATTGTAACTGTGTTTCCTCCATAAATGTGTACAACAATTGTTTCCAACAGGTCGTACCATGCCCCAGGTGGCCATTCGTTGGCTACTGCAGAAGGATATTGTATCCTCGGTCATCATAGGAGCCAGAACTCTGGCTCAACTCGACGACAACATGGGAGCTAACGGCTGGAGTTTGACCAAGGAAGAAGTATAGCCTCCTTCATTGTTATTTCAAATATTTATTTATCGTTTGATTTCCAGGATCCCATTGAAGAGAAAAAAGAAAAGACCCACTGCCTCCCCAGGAAGTATGAGGGAACAGTCAACTAATTATTGGGTGTTTCCTTTTTAGTTGGAGTGCATCTACCTGAAAACGAGTAGAAAAAGAAGAAGAAGTAGGAAAACAAGAAGAAGAAAAAGAAGATCCTGCGTTGAGCATTAGACTCAGAACTTACATCACAGCATTCGAGATACTCCCATAAGCACCCCGTTCGTATCGTCAGCAGCCAGCGAAGAGTTATTTCTGACAGTGCCAAAGGCAGTTTGATTAAGTGTCCGGCTTGCATTTCTTTTGAATGTTGATTGTCGACCATATCCCTATATACCACTCTCTCGAGATCATATCCCCATATACCACTCTCTCCAGACCATATTCCCATATACCACTCTCTCCCGACCATATCCCCATATACCACTCTCTCCAGACCATATCCCCATATACCACTCTCTCCAGATCATATTCCCATATACCACTCTCTCCAGATCATATCCCCATATACCACTCTCTCCAGACCATATCCCCATATACCACTCTCTCCAGATCATATTCCCATATACCACTCTCTCCAGATCATATCCCCATATACCACTCTCTCCAGACCATATTCCCACATACCACTCTCTTCATACCATAATGACTTATTCTTGTCTCTGCATCGTTAGCTTTCTCGCAAAAGGTGTTGCCCACATCTAGCTTGTCGTCCATAATTTTACCACCTTGAACCAGTCAGTAGTCTGCTTTTTTATTTACTTACATTCCTGCATTGCCTTTGGATAAAATATCCAAAGAGCTGTAACTATATGGGACCTCTGAATCTAAGTTTGTCCCTCTGCACGGAGCATACCCGTCTGCAACTTTTAGAGCATTCTGTGTGAGTCATTTACAATCAGGATATATAGGTATAGCTGGTTCTTAAGCCCTCACAAAGCTACTGTGACTGTAGGGACCTCCATTATCATCATATTTTGAAGTCTGAACAACGGATCAACATCATAGCACACGGGTAGTAACCCATAAGTGCTTCATTCTTCTTCTAACTCAAGTCTGAGTCCGAAGAAGCTCAGCACAGTACACAGGCATTGTAGCACCGCCGAGGATCCTGAAATACTTTGGGTAGATTCGTAACTCCAAATTTGCCCAAGCAGCGCCGTTAGGCTACGCTTTTCGAGATTTTTTTACTTGCACAACAATGCACACGCGCGTCCGACCTCACTATCCAGAGACTAGGGGGAATACAAGAAGTCAAAGTCCACGTGAAAAAATCCCATCCATAACCGGGGATTGAACCCGGAACCTCTAGGACTCGAGGCGGACACCATTGTTCGAGACTACGCAGCCCCCCTCATTCTCAGATTAAACGTTGTAGTACCACACGCTAGACTTTGTCGCACTAAGTGTCGTTCATTCGCTTTCGCAATCAACTGACTTGCTCGTCTTCCGTCTCTCAGCAAAGAGACACCCTGTAAAGACAATCCCATCAGGTCGGGGGAATACATTTCTGATTCTGCAGAGCTCGCTGGCCAATCCCTGCACCCCAGGCCAAGTGTGGTTGGAACTCTACACAACCGAATGTGAAACAATTATGTCAGATTGTAATACTGACAAAGGTATTGATAATTGCAATGTCAAGTAAAGCACTCTTTTCCATATCCAGACGAATTCAATTTATAGGGTTAGACATATTTTATAGAAAATCGGCACTCGGTGGATGATGTGGTCAGCACCATGTCACTTTTAAAAAGAAACAAAAATGGCAGACTCCTTTCGGTTTTGAACCCATGACCTTGGGATCAGCTGGCGAACATCTAGTCGCTACACCAGCGCGGCTCCTAAAGGTTCTAATCAGATGTCCAAAGCCAGTAGCTGTAATTAAACAACTTCAAATTTTAAGCCTGACAGAACTGCTTGAACTCAATGACGTCTTGGCAGTGCTACATGATCACATTAATGAACAACGACAGTGACAATCAGAACAGATTCAAAATCAAGTGGTCGTTTTATTTTATTTCAGATGAAACAGCTGGATGACGTCACATCTACGCCCCTGACTTACCCCTATAACATGGTGGTGAATTTTAATACTGACAGAGCCAACAGATATCTGAAAGACGCCTATGTAAAATCAACAAGCATCTGAGTCATTTCGGTGACCAACTGGACTTGTGATACGCTATTGTTTCTGGAAATGTTTCCACTGAACTGTGAGAGCAAAGCGTGGCCAATAGAAGGACGCAAACAATGTACACAGACAAGAAAAAACTGGACTCTTTGACTGGAGCCTTTCTCGACACAAATCACACATCAGCAACAAACGGGCAATATTGCTCTCCCCACCACCTTTCCTTTTTATGTAAGCTTCTTAGTCACAGTTCAGTTGACTAATTTCTAAGAATAATCGTGACTGCAGGCTTCCAAGTTTTATACAGCCTGTCTCTCTATATTGTGTTGTTAAAATATTTAAAAAAAAAAAAGATAGTGACTGTTATTAGACAATGGTATTCTGTAACTAGAGATGCTATAGAGCAGAGGTTTCCAACCTGTGCTAAAGGGCTCCGTGTGCACTTTTCATGGGCTCTGTGGCTGCTTCAGGAAGATAAATATTGAATCAAATTACAGACGAACAAAAACAATAAGGAGTTAAACAAAAATGACCTTCTGTCATTGCTGAATGGGTTACGTGCTATTGTTTGGTTATCTCTTTACTTCATATTCCCTTGTTATCCCCGCTTCCTCTGCTCCATAGCATTACTTAAAAACTCCATTACCTTTTAAGACGTTGGGTACTGTAGGCTTCTGGAGCCAATGTTACAGAGACACTAATAATCCCAATATTACATGCCATAGAAAAAAGATCATGCCTCAAACTTGCCTACCACTATTATCTTCGGAGTGACGTGTTTGTTGTCTCTTTGTGAACTATAGTTTGAGAGTTTATTCTGGTTACTTATTTGTAAACTTTGGTACATACTTATTTTCCTAATGTTTCGGTGAACTATAACATAGAAGAAAAGAAAGACGAAAGTTTTAAAAGACCTGAACGTCAAGGAAGATTGGCTAATAAACAGGATCTTGTCTCGGAAGCTGAAATCGCGTATGTTGGCCACATCAAATGCCATGGCAGATTGAAAAACAAATTATAGCAGAAGGCATGGTACCAGGAAGGAGGGGCAGGGGCCGACCAACACAAAGATCGGCGAAGGATTTAAGCCTTCTTCTTTTCTTCTTCGCTTCACCGGCTGTAAACTAGGGCGTAAACTTCTGGTTATTAGTCCAATTCTGGACTTTTAGTCTTTGTCAACAACCTCAGTGTTGCGTGTGTACCCGTTTTACAGATATGACTTACTTGCATACAGTTGCTAGTTTCTTGCCTTTCAAGCAGGTGCACTCCGACTTCGAAGAAAGATCCCAATAAGTCGATTCTTACGACATGCTTTTGGGGTAGGCAGTGAGGTTATTCTAGTTTTCCATACAAAAGGGCCCCGGAACCCACACGGGGAAGGATTAACGTAACACCCCTGACATGAAAGTGTGGCGCGGTGATTTCGGTCACAGGCATGAGGCAAATTTAAGTCTGATGTGAGGTGTATAAGGAGATACTCCGTACTCCACTCGGGCGCCAGTCCTTCACTGTTCTAGTTTTACGGAACCTCATGCAAGACTCTTGCTGCACGTCCCCGTCGTGTGCCACGGATAATGTCTCAAATGAGCATTAACAGAGTTGGCCGGGGATCTCGGAGCTGGCGGCCCCTAGAGGTGTAGTGTCCTTTCTGGCTCTCACCAGCCCGCCCCCAAACGCATGGGTGAAAAGTCTAACAAAACTCAATAATTGCTTGCTAAATGTACCATCAAATGACAACTCTTGGTTAAAATTCGGGAGCGAATGGAAAACTGTGCTGCTGAGACTCAACCCTGACCGAGAGATTTACCCGCAGCCAAGACGAGTAACATCTCTTGTGGACGACTTCTCGCAGCAAGATCCTACCTACGTACATCCTCAATCCTCAGTGTCGTCGTCACCGCGCTGAGGTACACCACGGCAGCAACTTTTCATATGCTGGCTTGGAAATAATGTCCGACAAAGTTATACCCCACGGCACACATGCAAGCTCAAAGTCCGACGATCATAATTCGTACCGATTAGGAGAAAGTCCGAATGTCCGTATCCACTGATCCAACTCGCCCGAGTGTTGGGACCAAACAGGTGAAGCCACGCCTGACGCATTTTGCTTCCCCATTCTGTCGTGCTAAGGGCACAGCTGAAACAACGTTAAACGTGTCTAACGTAAGATGAAAAAGAATGTATCTATTTGTGTGGCCACAAACGTCCTAGACCTGCGGGCTGCTCCCCGCTGATCTCCGGAAAGCGCAGCCTTGTAGTGCGGGAAGCTCAATACACGGTTGTGAGGTTAAGCAGTCTTGGGCAGGACGTGGCGATTCCTTGGGTGAGCCAAGAACCAGAGCATCATGTGTCGGCTCTGCATTTATGGAAGCCTCCTTGGATGGCGGGGAATGCCCATGATCTGCCCCTGCCTTCCCTTGAGGGCTGAAAACTCTACATAGAGCTGCCTTAAGGACGACATTCCGGGGGCCACACCTGTTAAAAGTCAAAGAGGACACCACACAAATGAGGCAACATCTCGACCCACACAAAACAATGGCCACAGTCAACCTAGAAATAGGCTTGACGTCTTCCTCCGAAGTCGGAGTACATCTGCCGGAGAGGCGGGGAACGAGAACTGCGAACAAATAAGCCAGTAAAACGGATGTACACGCAAAACTCAGGTCAAGGTAAAAGCCAAAAGTCCATTTTGGACGAACAACCGCGACTTACCGCCGGAATTCACAGCCGGTGAACAAGAAGAAGAAGAAGAAGAAGACATGAAAGTGCATTAGGCGGGAGAGCTGGCGATAGACCGTGGCAGTGTGTGATGCGAGCGACGTTGTGCAAAAGACCTGCTACATGATGATGATGACGATACCATATATATTATGTCTTAGCTGTTTCTGTTTGAAGTGGAGCATACTGATTGTGTAATCATTTTTTTTTTTTTCTGGGGAAAATATAGAAAAAAATGTCTGCTCTTTGTGTTGTTTTGAACTGTTTCATTTGAAGTGTGTAATAGTTGATTCTAGCTCTTTAAGAGTGGTGCGAATTTGTTGATTCATACCCAGAAAGGAACTATAATTCCAGTGACGCACTGTGTTGGCACTTTTTACTCTTGTTGTATGCATTTATTGCGTGTGCATCTGCTGGCTTTGCCGTGAGTGCAATCTGTTTCAGTTTCACAAGAGGCTGTGATGTTCATTGTGTGTGGTTTAGGCTGGCAAAGGAAGGAATCAACTACAGGATGACCGGTTTTCTGTGAAGTTAGAACTGTGATTAACTGACTAACTAAACTTCTAACTATTGGTTCATTGTTGTGAATTATGGAATGTACAGTGTGTACTTGTGTCTCTGTGTGAAACATAGCGAAAAAACTGTACTGGTGTCTCCTTTGTAAACTATAGCATTCCTAATATGTGTTTTACGTTTATTTGTGAATTACAGCATGGTGAATACATTTTAATAGTTCATGTGTGAACTATAGAATATAGTATATGCAGGGGTTGTATCTATGTGACATATAGGATACAATGTATTGTTTGCCTTTATGTGAAATGTATTATATCCACTATCTAAATGGTGCTCCGGTCAGTAGATAGGAACCAGCGTCAATGCAGTTATAAATCATAAGTGCTTAGCTACCATTACGGACAACTGATAATAAACTGGACGCACGCAACTTCATAACTACAGCGACGTTCCTCCATTTACCCCAGAGTGTTAACCCATAAGTGCTCTGTTCTAATTCCAACTCAAGCCTGAGTCCAAAAAATCTCAGAGCAGTGCACGAAATCAGAAGCACCGGTGAAGATCCTGAAATACTTTGGGTAGATTAACTCCCATTTTTTGCCTGGGCAGCACCGTTAGACAACTCTTTTCGGTTTCCGCTAAGAGATTGTTTTATACGGGCGCAACAATACACAGGAGCGTCCGATCTTACTACCCGCAGACCAGAGGAAATTACTAGAACTCCATGTGAAACAATCCCAGCCTTTACCCGCCTCTTGAAACCGGGACTTCTAGCACTTAAGGCGGACGCCGTACCTCAAGCCACTCAGCCCCCCCCCCCCTCTACCCCCACCCCTTTTCCCCCCAATCAGTATCTTGTCACTGAAAACTGAAATAATTTGGTAATATCACACACTATGATTGATTGAGGTTCACACCTACCAAGACGTGTCCAACATAATTCACTTGTCTCTTTTAAATGTTATTTCTTTTAACAGTTCTCTTTTTATTCGGTCATTGGTTTAAAAGCTCTTTTAAAGGCTTTTGGGCATTCCATTTTCAAACTTCCCCACTTACCCACACACTAGTAAATTTAGGTCTATTCAAACGTATCATAATTTAGTGTTTTGGGAAATGAACAAGCAGACAAATTGGCTGCTTCTTTGTAACTGAATGGTGAAATGATACACGACAAGTTATATGCGGTCAAGGCAAGTAACTCTGGAAGCACAAACAGATTATTACCATGTGAAGAGAATATTGTAGCAGAAAGTTACCAGAAGATCTGGCTGACACTCAACACTCAAAGGAAAGACAAGACGTACAAACAGTCACAATGCTACTGGTACTATGGGAATTTGGACATTTCGATGGCTGCTGAAGATGAGAACTGGGTGCTTATGGGAATGTCCCGAGTGTTGTGATATCAGTTGTTAACTCAGTTTTGAAATAAACAAGAAGTTAGGAGTTTGTCAACTATAATATTACAGAAAGGGTCCTAAAGTATCATGGACATTTAGTAGGAAAAGACAGACTGTTTCAGAATCTGAACACAAAGGAGACACACACTATAGCTCCTCAGAAACTGAAATACCTTAATCAAATTAAACGGTATGTTTTGGAGAGAATACTAATAAAAGGTGTAGTTCAAACAAGAAGAGGCAGGGGTTGAGCAGCCCGACGGTGGACACAGGATATAAAACCACCCTAGGCATGATAGTTCACTAATCAGGAAGACTGGCAGAATGCTCCCTCACCCTTTCTCCTTTTCGATAGGTAACGACGTTCTGCAAAAGAACATAATG